TACAGACAGAAGATGTGTGGAGGGGGAGGGAAGTCATATACTGATTACAAAGGAATTCTTATTCTAGTAGCTAAAAAATGAGGACAGAGACCTGACAATGTAACCAAACAGACAATGAAGCTTTTGTCCCAAAACTACTTGCTTGCACACAAGGAACAGAGGAACTTTGGGGGTGGGGATGAGAAGAGAGCGAAGCTGGTAAGCCTGCTTTAGGGAGAGAGACAGAGAAGCAAACAAAATACTGCTATTGTAAAATCCACCCACTCAGTTCTGAAAGATTCAAAGACCCAGACGAGGATTTACAGCCAGCACTTTCATGCACAGAGTATGAAGCAGAAAGTCGTGGCAAATGCCTAGAGGCAGCTCCTGTAGTCCTACAGAAAAAGCTTTTAAATTATATTAGGTTATGGTCAGTTATTCTTTTGCCAACAAACTTTCCATTGCTAAACTTAAAATCTTTCATTATATTACAGCATTACAAAACGGTAGCATCTGTACACTAGAATTTTCAGGTAAAAGGTATTCAGCCAGTACACCATGTTGTCTTACAAGAAGAAGTGCTTTTTTTTTTTTTTTTTTTTTTTTTTTTTTTTTTTTTTTAAATAAAGGAGAGAGAATTCAAAGGAGAACTGAGCTACAACGTGGGTTGGAGGAGAGAGAGAGAGAGAGAGAGAAAAAACATAGGAGAGTAAAAACTAGAAAAAAAAAAACTATTACCAAAGCAACAAGTTCAAAAAAGCCTTTTCAGAAAAAAGAGAGGTAGTGTTCAGCTAGTAACGCCACTTCAAGAACAATTCCAAGTGCTAAGCAAAGTCTCCACTTGAAATCAAACATTGTTTAAAATCAGTCATAAGGCTTCATTTACACACAAAGTTGTACCAGTACAATGCCAGATGGTAAACAGATACAGGAGGCTGTGAACACCTACTTCAGGCCTATTTCAGTTAGTGATTTAAGTGAAACAGCAGTATCACTGGGGTTTGCACTGGATTTAGCCAAATCAGTTAGTGATGTCTTTAGTTGGAAAGGTTTAGCTCCTCAATTTAGATAAATGACACCTAGCTTTGAACTATTTGGACCTATTTAAGTAGCTATGCTCTAACTGAACCAACACAGAGATGCATAGGGACAAGCCCTAGACTATCATTTACAATATGGGATCAGATAAGGGTTTCTACTTTAGACTATTAGCTTGCTGAAAAAAACCAAACAGGCAGGAGTTGTTTTTTTTTTTTTTTTTTTTTTAAAGGGAATAGACGGCATATGTTGCTCCCTCTCCCCCTGCACTCAGCTTTTTATTGTAAGCCAATTAGTTTCGGCACTGCAGGAAGTTCATGGCCACAAGAATCGAGAGTGCATTCAAGGAGCAGGAGTTCTGAAAGAATTTGCTTAGTAACATCTTAATCTGAAAATTGTTACTTGCAGTCTTAAGAACATTTTATTCCATCTCCACCACAAAACATTTATAACACTCCAATGAAATAAGCTACAGTCTCATTCACATCTTACTGAATTATTCACAGCTTACTGAAATAAGCTACAATCTCATGTAAGGCTTTATTTCTGCTCTACCTGGGTGACATATCAGGCCCTACACATTCAAGATCAGGCCCAACTCAAAGTCGTGTCACCACAACTGTGAACAAAAGGTTGAGTTACAAGCAGTATTTTTTGTTGTAGGGTATAGTTACACGCTATTAAACAAGGAACAGTTGTGAGCTCACAACTTGGTTCAACTTTCTCTAGTATCCATAGCCTATTTTTCAAACATCAAATGAAAGCATGATTTAAGAACATTACCCTCTTCAACAGATGGCTGAAGTTCGGTGTCATTAGCATGCATTTCTGCCTTCTGTTTGCTTTGGCATTTCCTGTATAATCCTGTACTTGAAGTTGGAGACTACAGTTAAAGCCTTTATCATTGCAGAACACTCATTTTAATGACTTAGCCCTTTTCCAATTTGATACAATTTCCATACCAATCAGTAAAGCAAACGCAGGTAAGGGGGGGGGAAGTACTTTGTTCCCATCCTCTTCCTTGCCCATGCTGCTTACACACACCACAATAATTACCACACTGATGATATGTAATCACCACAGCCTGTCATCCTGACCTTCCCCTCATCTCTACTGGTTATATACAATTATATTTAGATTGCAGGTTCTCTGGGGCTGGGCACACTTTTTGGTTCGATGTTTGTGCTGTGCCTATCAATGTGATCTCAGACCATGGCTAGGGCTCGCAGGCATTATGATATGCAAGTTAAATTATTTTGTATTAACAGCTTTCTAGACTTCAGCCTTCTCTGTCTCAGCCTACACCTCAAATACTTAGTCCCACGTAACGTAAAGATCGCAAGGTTTTCCTTTTGCCATCTTGAGCCACATAAAAGGCTGAGCTTCCAATCCAACCACCACTGAACTGCTCAGGGGTTCAGAGTGTGTTCAAGTCTAAAAGGAGTTCCCGTTCTTCAGGGTCATGGCTAAGATGGTACTTTAGGAAAGCCAGTTTGCAAGTAATTTGATTTACTGGACACCTTCATGAAAAAAATTCTACCCTAAAATTAATCGATATTTATTTGCGAGTAAATCTATGCTTGCAACATAAGGTTGTTAGAACAGTTAATAAAAGCTTATACTAGCTAAATCAACCCTATTACTACTGGGAAATTTAGGTGTATTGGACAAGCACCCAATATTCTTTTAAGCACAAATCTCAGGCAATTCCAAAATATTGTGAAAAATAAAGCATATTTTTTCAGGAATGCAAAGAGACAAATTTATTTTATACCCATTTTAAAGAAGCCATTCCTGGTACGAGAATTTGTGAAGCTGTTTCAGCAACAACAAAATCTTACCGTCACGTTATGAAACTTGGCATCATGGAACCCACTAACTGTAAACTACAAACAGCCCCAAATTAAAAAACAAATTCTTACTGCTAGAACACAGAGCTAAACAGAAATCACTGTTTCATCTTGATAAAAGCTATTCCATCAATTCCAATAATTCCTTTGGATCCACAAGTGAGACAAATCCTTAAACTTCTTGAAATGGAATGCGCTTGACCTTCAGTGTTTATTTATGCCATTAGTTTTCATACGCTTTGCCAGAAACAAGACAGACAAGTTGAAGAATGGTATTGTATTTCTAAAGTCATTTAGAATTAAACAAAAAAAACCCTCACTCTTTTGGAAGAGAGCAGAGTAACAGGGTCACTTAACTTCCTTGTACGAATGTATTAACAAACATAACCGTACGCTCATTTGTCTAAACGAGAGAACACAGTACAGGGGAAGCAGCAGTAATTTCCGATTTTGCAAAGGACAACGCGCTTTAGTATTATACCCATTATAAACTAGATTATGGTGTTATACTGTATTACAGTATATGCTGTGGTTATATCTTAAGCACTATTGTGTACAAGGACCAAAATTCATTTGGACTTATTTCCTCCTTAAGTAACTATGAACTGATAGTGCAGACTTCCACCCACACAAAGTAACAGTCTCCCATTCCAGACCTTAAAAGTACACAAACTAATCTCAAATCTGCAGAACTACAATCCTAACCGGATGGAAGAGACAGTCACTTAGATCTCACGTTTAAATCTCAGATCACAACAGTACCAAGTGGGTTCTCTTACAATTTGAGCGCGATAAATTTCTCGTGGTGTAAAGCTCTGTATTTTACATCACCCCACGAAGCAATACTTACGGCTTGAAGGTTGATGGGTAAAATACCTAAAAGTCCCCTTTTTCCCCCCATTCTTTCAGAGATGAGGCAACAGTGATGTCTTGACAGCGGTGCTGTAAGAGACCGCAACCTGGAGTTCATTTTACTGGGCTCGCTTTTGCTTTTGGCAGCGCTTGGACACAAAATCGTTTCTCAACTGCAGAGAAGTGAATTCTTTTCTTCGAGTGCTTAACATGCTATTTATAGTGTGTTCCTTACCTTGCTGCTATCTTGAAACACTAAAGTAGCCTTTTAAGCCCAATTATAGATTCACAACCTCTCCTTTCAATTAATAAAAGAAATATTAGTGTGAAGTAATACAGTGAGTAACATGAAGCATAAGCACCAGTTATGTAAACTGCTTAGCTTCTGTGCCTGAATGACTGGTCAGATTTTAATTAGCATACCAGTGTTTGAACTTGAATAGATATCCAAGTCTTAAAAACACAGTGAGTGAACAACAAAATGTCCAGCCAAGCAAAAAAAGGATTAGAGTCCCTCAAAGATCTCCTCATTGTCTGGGGTGGCATGGAGGCGTTGAGAGAGGAAAATATAAAGGTACTATCAGCTGCTTATGAGGTCAAAGAGTGAGGGTACGTGTACGTGTTTGAAGAACAGTCACATTCCCCCACCAGAAATGTTCTCTTCTATTATGCATGTATAGTCTATCATGCATTGCGATTTGAACTCATTTCTGTTCCAAGGAGGAGAGGAGGGAACACATTTAAGTTTTTATTTTTAGGCTGATTGCCATCCTTAAGTTGCCACTCCAAAATGTAACTCACAGATATAATAATGAAAAGGAACAGTCAAAGAAGAAACAACTTGGAAGGAAACTGCATTCATTTCCAGAGACTTACTCTGCAAACAGGAATAGACTGCCAGCATCAATACAGTGTGAGCTGGCAAAACTGGGAAGTTACAAGCAAGTGTGCATTAATCAGTGACCTACTATGCAGAAATCTACAAAGCAGCTCAATTTTTAGTTCAAGACAATCCCTGCCTTTTTTGGTTTCTCTTGTTGCTCTAGTTTATCCAGTTGCGTGCACTTACTTATTCCACTCCCTCTGACATGCAGT